CCCCAGGCAGGGGTCGTAGCCCTGGGAGGTGGGAACCCCTCACGGCTCTGGTCCTCCAGCCTCTACCTGGAGACCCGCGGAGCACTGAGGGACACACCTGCGGCTCGGCTGTCACCTGTGGCCGCGCCCCTGTGTGCCCGTCACTGCGCTGAAGCTGCCTCGGACCCGCTCGCTGCGTGTGTCTGAGGAGCTCGTGTGCCCGTTAATACCGTGACCTGGCTTCGCGTGCAGTCCCGCGTGTTCAGGCATTGGGGACGCATTTCCGGGAAGGGCCCAGGGGTGACCTCCCACGGCCGGCAGGGTCCCTGGCGCAGGGAAAGTGCGACCGTGCTCTGGAAGCGCTTTGCCGTTCGGGAGCGGTTTTCAGATGCCCGTCAGGGCCTGGGGCGTGACGTCTGGGGACCCAGGCGGCCTCCAGGCAGCTTCTCTGCCGCGGCGGTGTTCCGGGGGTCTCTGCGTCAGCCTGACTGTGTGTCAGCGTGTCCTGTCGCGATGACTTTGGGTGATCCTTAGTGAAATAGGTTCCTAGCCCGTAGCACTCGCTTGCCTTTTCTCATTATCCACTCGACACTATGCATACTCCACATCCGAGTGCAAAGGGTTAAAAATTAAATCTCGTGTGAAAATTGTGGTCTGGTCCATGAACGTTGAAGTGAGTTTTAAACACGGAGCTTTAAAGAAGCATTGTGTGATGTTGTTTTTATCAGATGTCATGAACTAAGGAAAACCTTTAAAAAAAAAAAAAAAGTGTTGCTATCCATGGGGGGGGTGGCAGGAGGTGTGAGCCCAGCAGCCCCACACTGGGGTGTCAGGCTTGTGGTCGCAGCCCTTTCCCTTGGAAGAGACCCTCTCTGTCATCTGACGTCAGGGCCGGGATTCCCTTTCCCGCCCCGTGCGAGGAGGCTGTGTGGATCGCGGCGAGCTGCTTTGTCCCGGGATGCTCTTGCGGCCCCGGCATCAACTTGGGGCCGGGTGGGAACGCAGCGCAGTCTCAGGCCCACCCCAGACCTTCTGGCTCAGAACCTGCATGTCAACAAGATCTGGAGGCATTTTGCACATTAAAGTTTGGGAGCAGTGGCCCAGTCTCTAAACAGGGGCGGCAGTCGGAAGGTTAACTGTCTAAGCCAGGTGTGAGCTACTTGAGCCCAGGTACCTGGACTTTATTAGTGTCCCTTTGGGTGTGCGGCAGCTGTCGACCCTGAATCGGCTGTCCTGGCTGAGTGACAGAGAGGTGTGTGGCCCGGGACCGCTTCGGGGTCACATTTCATCCTGGGTTGCAGCTTCCGCAGCAACTCTGGCCCTTCCCGCCATCGTCATCGGCCTCGGCCCCGCGGGGCTCCCTGCCCTCTGGGCGTCTCGCTGTGCTCGCCTTGTGCTGTTTGCTGTTGTCTTGCTTGCGCGCTGTGCGCCCTTCCTGAGACCAGGCTGCTCACATAATTTAAATTGCAGGAACTTCTCCTTTGAAGTGGGGGTGCTTGTTTGTTTAGTTCTGAGTTGTGTCACAACCTGGCGATGCAGATTTCACAGACACTCGCTAAGCGCCTGCCTGGTGCCAGCGTGGACAGAACAGACCAGTGCCAATCCCTGCCCCGCTGAGCGCCGAGAAGTCTCCTCGAAGGTGACACTTGAGCCGGACGGGAGGGCGGGGTGGGGGGTGTCGCAGGCGGAGGGAACAGCCAGTGCAAAGGCCCGGGGGCCTTGAGCACGAGAGCGAGGGGCGGTCGGACTGGGGGCTGGCCTGTCGAGGAGGGGCGCGGCGAGCGGGAGCCCTCATCTGGAAATGGGGCTCAGGGTGCTTTGTTCAGGATGTCGAGCTAACGGGAACGACCTGCCTGGGTCGACGGGCCTGTCTGGGGGCGTCTTCCTGCCGCCTTCCCGGCGGCGGCGGCGTGGGGAGCCGGCCGGGCCTCTGTTCCCGTGCTCCGGCAGCTGGGCGACGCCCCGCGGGTGAGCCTGAGTCACAGCGCGCCTGAGTCGAGCCGGGCAGTCACGTGGAGCAGGCTCACTCCACCAAAAATAACCCCGAAAACAGCGTTTCTGGGAAACGCGGGTGAAGACAGCGTTCAGTGTAAACAGAGGAGCGGAGTGGAGACACAGGCCCGGCTGGGAAAAACGAACGTCTGGAAACCCAAGAAGAAACGCCTTGGGGAGAAAAGTGCCGAGGAAAACAAGCATCGCTTTTCCAGCGGCCGTACTTTGAGAGCATTTCCTCCGTGTGTGTCTGTGTCGCACGCGGCACGTGTGTTTTGCTGGGGCCACACGTGTCCGTCCTCTCCCGTGTGTCTCCGCTGCTGCGCCCCGGTCCCCGTTCCCCGGTCCTGGCCGGAACCACGTGGGGGACGGGGTCGCCAGTGGGGCGTTGCTGCTGCTCAGCCCGGCTGCAAATTAGAGTCTCCAGAGGGCTTCATGCACTAAAAACAAACCCAAAGGCCCCGCTTCCAGAAATCCTGACTTAATGTAATCGGGTGTGCGGGGGCCACCGTCTCTGTCCCCTCGGCCCGGGAGTCCGGCGCGGTCGGGCTGCAGCTCCGCGTCAGCATGTCTCTCCCCTCCTCGCGACCTGCGTTCTCCGGCCGCGGCCCAGCCTTCTCCCTTCCTCCCCAGGTGGGGGGCTGGCTTCCCCTGTGGCCGTCCGGTGTGACTGGGGGTGGGCAGGTGGCGTAGGTGCCAGAAATCACTGACCACGCACGTTTCCGTCCGGGGCGGGCGGGTGGGTTTGCCACCGGCCACCGGAGTTGGAACTTCTGTGGCAGGCTGTCGGGGCAGCCCCCCGTCTCCCCAGGACCAGGACCGAGGATGTCAAAGTGGCCGGGACGGCGTGGAGGAGGTCCAGGCGCCAGGCGAGATGGGGCGGTGTCTGCCGTGGTCACGTTTGTTACGTGTTAGTAGCTGCAGTGTTAGCCTCCTGAGCCGTTTCCCAAAGCGACATTTACTGTTTGGGACTAAGCGTCTCCCCCCTGTGTAAAATTTCTGTCTTGCGTTGGTTCTGTTATCTTGCTGGACGGGAAGGAAGTTCGTTTCTGGGATACTTTTAACCACCGGGTGATAAAAGAAACTTTGCTAAATCTGAGGGAAACTGCCCAGTTTAGTTAAATTACAAATGCAAACTTCAAGAATTTAACTTTTCTTGATAACGTTCTGGTCACGTAATCCGAAGAACTGACTTTCTGGAGGAGTGCCAGGGTGGCGAGGATTTATTTTCTAGAGTCACATAAACCTCCAAATTAACTAGCCCTGTGCTGCTTTTCTTGGAGGGCATCACGTGAGGAGTCTTGAGATCCGCTAGCCCCCGCCCGTGCGCTGGGCGAGCTTGCCAGGCTCGGCGGCCTCCTGCGGCTCACCGTCCGTCCGATGACGGGGACGAGGCGCTGGTCTCCACCCTGTCCTCCGTCCCCCCGCCCCCACGCCCTGCCTCGCTGGGCCGGCCCTTCCCCCGCGCGCTGTGGCGTCTGTGCGTGGGGGTGGCCTCGCGGGACACTCGGCCAGCTGCCACCTGCCGTCCGGGCAGCGAGTGAGACGATGGGCACAGGCCGGAGAGGTCAGCACGTGTCTCGAGGCGGAGGCTGCGTCTTCCCGAGCGTCTTTCCTGGCGGCGTGCGCGACGCCGTGTTTCTCGGCCTCTGGAGACCCAGGCCTCTTCGGTAAACCTAAAGGCCTTGTCGTTTGAAATGTCTCAATGTATTAAATCGAGACTGTGTAGAAGTTAAAGCATGGGCAGTTTCTACCCTTCTGACTCCTGCAAGTGATACGTTTTGGTCATGAAGTTTTCAAATGCTGATCCGAGAAAAAAGTGGAAGTTCCCGCAGCCAGCCTCCCCCGCCCACCCAAGACAGTCTCCCCTCGCGGGGGCCGCGGCCCGGAGCGTGCCAGGCCTGGCGCCTCCGGCTCGCGCACTCTGGACCTGGGGGGGGGGGGGGGCGATCCCAACCCCGTCACGACGCGCCTTCCGTCCTCGCTGGGCGTCGAGGGCTCTCAGGGCGGCGGGCTCCTGCCCTGGGCTCTGCGGAGACTCGCGGTCCCGGCAGACGGCCCGTGCGGTGCCCCAGGGGTCCCTGGCGCCCGGCACCGAAGCTGCCCTCAGGCTTTCACTCTCGCGAAGGCTCCACAGCGAGCGCTCCCCCCCTATGTGTGAGTGCTCGGCATGGTGGTGGATTCCTGGACATGGAGTGATAATTTTAGAATCTGCTTTTTCAGGCTGTGCCCCAAATAGATCCATTGGTATTCTGCTCTTTACCGTCGTCTTTAGGGCGCTTTATTATTTGTTTAAGACGTATAGCAGGGCAGCACAAAGTCCGGCCATGTAATTAGTTTTATAGGGAACTGTTCGCTTCGAAGACGTGCAGAAATAAAGTTTTGCCTCACATGAAGGCACGTGATCCAGGACGGCCTGGCTCAGCCCGTTTCTGTCTGGTCCGGTGGAGCGCCGGGACGTGAGCGTGACGCTGAGCCAGCTGCGTGCCGTTTCTAAGTGTCAGTGGAGCAGTAGGTAGGTAGGTGGCATTTTTGTCTTTCTTAGGAGGCGCTTATTCTAGTGACACACGTTTTATACAAAATCTTAGAAACTGGCCGGGCGCGGTGGCTCAAACGTGTAATCCCAGCACTCTGGGAGGCCAAGGCGGCAGGACTGCTTGAGCTCAGGAGTTTGAAACCAGACTGAGCAAGAGCGAGACCCCGCCTCTACTAAAAATACAAAGAAATTAATTGGTCAACTAATATATATAGAAAAAATTAGCCGGGCATGGTGGCGCATGCCTGTAGTCCCAGCTACTCAGGAGGCTGAGGCAGGAGGATCGCTTGAGCCCAGGAGATTGAGGTTGCTGTGAGCTAGGCTGACGCCACGGCACTCACTCTAGCCCAGCAACGGAGTGAGACTCTGTCTCAAAGAAAAAAAAAAAAGAAAAAATCTTGGAACCAAGGTAAATGTGACTTTTAAATAAGAAAAATCATTGCATGTTAACTCAGCGGAAGAGAGTAAGGCGGTCACGCTTGTGTCCCCCCAGGTCTCCCCACGGCCCGAGGCCCCCGTCGGCGGCGTGGGCAACAGCCTGGAGAGCGCTCTGCACACATCGGCACATTCCACGGAGGAGTCACTGCCCAAGAGGCCTTTAGGGAAGCACGGCAAAGGTGAGGCTCCGGGGTCTCGGGAGGCTGTCCACGGGCACTGGGAGGAGATGCCCTGGGGCGGGGGTCCCCCGATGTTTTGTTACATGCTTCCAGATCTTCCTTCAGCGCCAGCCAGTACTGGGTGTTTTCTGAACTCTACCCTCAGTGCATGGGAATGTTTTGGCTGTAAAAATCTCAAATAGCGATGTTTGTTAAGGGGAAGAAAAGGAAGACCATCACACCCTCGTTGCCACCTCGCCCCCAAACAGGCCCTGGGTTCTGGAGCAGCCTGTCCTAGGGGCTCCTGCCGCCCTTGGGGTGCGGCCCGCGCCGTGGAGGGGCTGAAGTTTCATTTTTATTTAATTTAACGGCGAGAGTGACGTGTCCACGGGGTAGCGTGGCTCTGCGGCGAGTGGGTGGCCGCTCAGGCTGGGACGGGAGGGGCGGCCGGGAGGAGGCCGGGACGGGGCCGCAGTGGGGCGAGTCTGGGGGCAAGCACCCGTGCGGGGTGCGGCGGATGGGGGAGGAGCGTGGAGGTCCTCGTAGTGGGGCCGTGTGCCGTGGCCCCGAGGCGACTGCACCTCCGGCCCTTTGTCCTCCCGTCCCCGTGGACGGGGTGGGGGCTCCTCTTCCGGCACGAGGCCGGCTGAGGTCAGGAGTCTGCCCTGCGCCCTCCCTGTTCCCTGTGTCTGGGCCGCGGTGCTTTGCGCCCCGCAGGCCCTTCAGGACAGCCTCCTTTCTTTAGAGAGACGTCCGTGCCGAGAGCGTCGCAGCGGCCGCCGTGTCTGGCCTGGGTCACACCGGGAGCCGTGCGTTCCCCAGCGGCCCTGCGCGAGAGGGTGGGGGGCCGCGCCCGTCCTTGGGACAGCCCCTGGGGGCCGTCGCCCCGTCCGGCCTCGCGGTGCCCTCTGCGGCTGCGGAGCCCGTCTCGCCGCCCTCTCCACGGAGCCGTGTCCTGCCCTCCCCGGCCCCTGGGCGGCTGGCAGCTGGATGGCAGGGCCTTCCTCCGCCCTGGGAGCTGTGCTTCTCCTTGCTTCTCCGTGGCTGGGGGGCGGTGCCCCCCACGAGTGTCGCCCACTCCCTGTCCCCGACATCCAGCCTGGGAGCCGGCCCTGGTCTCCTGTAGGGCTCCTGGTTACCATGGCGCTCTTTCCTCGAGGCACAATTGCTAGGATTCCCCGTTCATTTTGTTAAGTTTGTAATCTTAAAACACGTGGCTGTGATCCGTCCTCCCCCCGTCTGTGTGTGTTGGTGCCCGGAGAGCCGTGTTAGCCGGTTCTCGCCTGATCTGGGGCAGAGCCCACGTGGGATGCAGACGAGAGGCCGTGGTTGTCCGTTCTTAGACCGCCACGGGGCCCGAGGTGACGCAGTGCGCAGGCACTGCTAGTGACCTCCAGTGGCCGTCCCCTGCCCTTTTTGGTACCAGGGACGGGTGCCTTGGAAGACAGTTCTCCAGGGACCGGGCGAGGGAGGGCGGTGTCGGGACGATCAGGCGCATCCCATTTATCGCGCGGCCAGACCTCTCTGCTGATCTGTGTTTGCAGCCGCTCCCCAGCGCTGGCAGCTCCGCCCCGGATCTTCAGGCGTTAGATTCTCACGAGGAGCCACAGCCTGGATCCCTCGCACGCGCGGTTTGCAGTAGGTCCGTGCACCTGTGAGGATCTCGCGCTGCTGATCCGACGGGAGGGGGAGCTCGGGCGGTGACGCAGCGATGGGGGCGGCTGTCAGTGCAGACGTTGCTTCCCTTACTTGCCCCCTCTCGCCTCCTGCTGTGCGGCCCGGTTCCTGACCCCGGATAGCCGCCCAGGCCCGGGCCGCAGTCGCACGGCGTTTTCCATTCGTTGGTCTTAGAGAGTAAGTCTCTTTTGTGCAGAAATCGTCAGGCAAGTTAGCTTGGTTTCTGTTAGTTGTGTTTCTCGTGAATCCCTTTAACACTCTGCTGGGCTTCTTGCTGGGTTATTGCTCTCCTGAGTGTCGCAGTCGCCCGGGGGTGTGGTTTTATCGCTGTGAAGTCCTCCCCATCTCTCTCTACTGCGCGTCCATTTTGGCGATTCCCTGCTGCTTCGGGAGTCCTGGAGCGTCGCGGCGTGGCTCACCAAGGGGTCAGACGTCTGCGTTTCTCCGTGCGGGCGAGCTCAGGCTCGGGGAGCAGCAGCGGGGTCGCCCCCAAGCCTGCGCCAGCCGGGCAGCTCGTCCCAGACGCTGGCCCGCACAGTCCTCCTCGCGACCCCGGGAGGGGCCGGCCACACCGGCTTCACGGTAACAGTGGTCCCGTGAGGAGGCTCTGACCCTGTCTCACAGAGGGACAACCGAGTCACAGAGAGGCAGCATTCCTGAGGTAGGCAGGGGCTCAAACCCGGAGCGGGCGCTCCCGACCAGCGGGTCAGACTGGAGAGCGCGGGGAGGGAAGCCAGGCGGCCGTGGCAAAGAGCGGACGCAGCTTTCTTCCCTGCTGTTGAGTGAAATTGTCGGGTATGGGAGTGGAGGTGACAGTGCAGGGGACCCACATGCCTCCCCAGCGGGTGCCACGTGTGGCTTCCTGTCCTTGTGTTGCTTGGGAATGTAGCCGAGGACTGGGGTGCCGACGTGAGAGCTCCCCGTGTTTCCCAAATCCACTCACTTGTGTTTATGTTTACCGGAATTTTGGGAAACAGTTATTGTCATGTAGAAATCGAGGTGGAAGTTTTTCTTTTTCCTTTTTTTTTTTTTTTTTTTGAGACAGAGTCTCGCTCTGTTGCCCAGGCTAGAGTGAGTGCCGTGGCGTCAGCCTAGCTCACAGAACCTCACACTCCTGGGCTCCAACGATCCTCCTGCCTCAGCCTCCCGAGGAGCTGGGACTACAGGCATGCGCCACCACGCCCGGCTAATTTTTTCACATTTTTAATTGTCCAGCTAATTTCTTTCTATTATAAGTAGAGATGGGTCTCACTCTTGCTCTGGCTGGTCTTGAACTCCGTAGCTCAAGCAATCCTCCTGCCTCGGCCTCCCAGAGTGCTAGGATGACAGGCGTGAGCCACAGCGCCCAGACGGAAATTAGTTTTATTAATATTAATACTCTTAAAGAAGTTCTGTAACTTTGTTCTTTGGACTTTGAGTAATTATAATTTATTTTAAGTTATCTTTTTGTGAGACAGGGAAGGAGGTTCAGCTTCGTTAAACTTAATGACGTTTAGTTACCCGCAGCTCTAAGACCTTATGGTCTCAGGATCCCTTTGTAAAAGCTCTTAGAATTACAGATTCAAAAGAATGCATGTTTGCATGGGTTATGTCTGTCGATACTTGCCATATTTGCGATTAAATATAAATATCATTGGTTTATAATTAAAATTGATAGAGTTTTAGTCTACTTAAAAAATGCTCATTATTGTACACTCCCGAGGTTTCTGCGTTTGTCGTGCGTTTCGTGGGCTTTCAAGCCTACGTTCAAGTTTGTTCAGAAGTTTGAGCTGCTCTGTGGACACGCGGGTCTGCGAGTCCGGCCCAGCCTTGCCAACCGCCCGGTAATCGGCGGGTCGCTGTGCCTGGGGTGTCCCGTCACCAGCCCCTGAGTCTGCGGCATCTGTGATTAATCACGCTCGGCTCAGCAGGCCCCGGGAGTCCCCAGGGGTCTGGCCCCGGGCTCTGTCCTGCCTGCAGTCTCTCAGTCCCTTCCGTCCCTGGCCTGCTCCTCCCCGGCTGGTGCCCAGGCGGGGGCCGGTCTACCGCAGCTCCCCCCGAGCTCCTCAGTGTGGACCGGTGAGGACAGCTGAGGCCGCAGGGCGCCTGCTGTGCCCCTGGCCCGTCCCTGCGGCAGGGACCATTGTCCGTTTGTTCAGTGAGGACGGGGGCTTGGTGGGATGACACGCCCGTGCTCAAGATCACGCGCTCGAAGCTGTCGTGTTTCAAACCCGGACGTGCGCAGGCAGAGCGCCTGGGTTAACAGGGACCTGCGAGAGAGGCCTGACTCTCCCCGTGTGGCCTCTCCTGCCTCCCGGGCCTCGTCTCCTGACACGCACCCGCCCAGGTGCCTGCCTGGCTGGGGAGCAGCGCGCTGCCTGCCTCCTGGGCCCTGACCACCGGGTCCCGATGAAGGGAGCACGGCTTTACTTCCGCGAACTTTTTGATTTTCATCTCTCTCCCGGCGGGCCCTGTGCCTAGCACGTGGCAGTGCGGAGTGAAGCAGCTACCTTTGTACATAAGTGACGTTCCTGAGGCCACTGCATCCTTTTCTTTATTTTCTCTTTATCTCGATCCCCTCCACTGTGGGAGGCCCCCGAATCTAAGTACCTTATCGCTAATCAGCCACAGTGGAAAAATGTGTTCATTTCCTGTTTTTGCTACTTCAGAGATATTTCATCAGCTTTATGTTTTCCAGATTGTGCTACTTTTGTTTCCCTCTCTTTCTGGAGAACAGATCAAATTTAATACAATGTAGCAAGATGATAACAAATCAAAGAAAAATAAATTTCAGAGTTCTTAAGTGTAACACGATGTACAGTCCTGAAAACCTGGGAAGGAGGGTGCCGGTTAATCAAGTGTAGCAGACAGAGCTCAAATCGCAGCAGCGGCTAAAAGAAGCAGTGCTGCTAAAAATGATCCCTGTTAGCACAGGCAACTAAATGAAAGTGAGAAACTCAGTTGATATTTTAGGGACGTTATTATTCAGCGGAGACTTTCAAGAATACAGTTTTTCAATTTTTCAATGAAGGTGGCTTTTGGTAATGGAACTTTAAAACAGGAGGAGCCGGCATGCGATTCTGGAACGGCTCCGCGTCCCAGCGTGAAGACCAACCTGCATCGCGTGGGACTTGGGAGAAAAGCGGTGTCTCTGCTAGATAGCGGGTCTGCTCTTTCTTAAACGTCTTTAGAACGTCACAAACAGTATCCATCCCCTTTACTGTGATTTTCCAGTGTGCTGCTTTTTTTTTTTTTTGAGACAGAGTCTCACTTTGTTGCCCAGGCTAGAGTGAGTGCCGTGGCATCAGCCTAGCTCACAGCAACCTCACACTCCTGGGCTCCAGCGATCCTCCTGCCTCAGCCTC